GGGACACACCCTGGGAGAAAGCTCACTGACTTGGTCTTGTTTATATAATCGAGCACAGTTGAAAAGGTCTAAAGGTGGAGCTTCAGCCCAGGAGCTCACCAAACTTCTTTCTCCCTGGATTCCAGACATCACGGTTGGAGCCCCAGCAGCCTGGTGCTCTGGAAATTTTACCGGTGGAAGTCTCAATAAGCTCCAAGCAACACTGGGGAAGAAAGGGCAGATTGCTCCCCTTAAGGAAGAAGTCCAGCTGGGCTCGGTGGCTCAGCCTGTAATCCCGCGCCTTTGGGAGGCTGAGGTGAGTGGATTGCCTGAGCCCGCGGGTTTGAGACCCGCCTGGACAACTTGGCGAGACCTCATCTCTACAATAAATCAAAAATCATCTGGGCGTGTTAGTGCGAGTCTGCAATTCCGGCTACTCAGAAGACTGAGGCGGAAGGATTGCTGGAGCCCGGCAGGTCGAGGCTGCGGTGGCCAGGAGCGGCCACTGTACTCCAGCCTGGACGACAGAGTGAGACTCCAACTCAAAAAAAAAAAAAAAAAAGTCCATGCAGGGGGACCTGCGTATCCAACTCCTTTTAAACTTTTTCTGACCTCAGCTTAATTTAAGTTCTCTGTGAAGTGCTTCTGTGTATACTCTTTATGATGACTGTTCAATAATCTGCCTTGTTCACTGGTCTAAAAGTTTGACATTCAATGCACAATGCCTATTCCACATAAAATCCCCAGTGATTATTGAATGAATGGATAAATGCAGTAGTCTCCTCACACCTTATCCATGGTTTTGCTCTCCATGACTTCAGTTACCCGTGGTCAACTGAGGTCTGAAAATATTAAATGAAAAATTCCAAAGATAATCTATAAGTTGTAAGTAACTTCTACTACAGCATACTATTTTGATTATTCTCTTTGTATTACTAGTTATTCTTATTAATCTTTTGCTGTATCTATTTAAATTAAACTTCATCAAGGAAAAATCAGTCTATATAAGATTCAGTACTACCTGCAGTTTCAGGCATCCGCTCAGGGTCTAGGAACTGAGTGTCTTACCCCTGCAGATAAAGGGGGACTACTGTAACAAAATTATGGAAGAGCTTTTTTAGAAAGCATCTGCTAGCCAAATTAGATGTTAACTTATAATAAGTTTGTCCATGATTAGGCTACCAATGATGATGATAGGGATAAGGATGAGAAGGATGAAAATGGTGCTGGTGATGATGATGGTGATGGTGAGGCTGATGACATCAGTGATAAAATAATAATAGTCTCTGCCTATTCTTGTTCCCATGGGTGTTGCCATTCTCTGAAGATACGGTTGTAGTGAGGGACATATTTGTTGAAGGTCATAATTTTGGCGATTTCATTCTGTCATCCTCCTTTCCTTACCTCCTATTCCTTGAATAAGATGTTATTGTTGGACCTTAAAACTATAACAGATTTTTCTTGAACTGTAAATACACTGTAGACCTGCTTTTATGAGTATCTCTGTGTGCATAAAAATAAAGCATTTGATTTGTTAAGATATAAAAGTTTAAGTTGGAACAAAAGATATGTTATTTTTCATTGTCACAGTTATGAAAAAAGTTATCTCCAGCGACTATAACAATTGGCACCCGCACTATAGTCTATATACATACCTTTTCCCCAAGTTCAGTCAGTACTTAATGTTACAAAGCTGTTTTTTAAATATTTACTTAATGAAAGAAAAAAATGATATCAAATTGTTTATTTAGCTTGTAGTTCTCCAAATACCTACTAGGCTTGGCACCTCATTTTACATGTATTTACTACATTAATTTCTTCTGTTTTTAAGATTTTTTCTACACTACCTCTCTTGGTAGTGCAGCTTGTGACTTTAAGTTGAAGTCAATGCTTATTTCCCATTCTGAAAACTCTAGGATCCTTAAGAATTTTACTAAATCTCCTCTGCTTAAAGCCTGATGACAGCCCTTCTGTGTACAGCATGATTTACTGAATGTTTTAATCCAACTGTTAGAACTACTACTCAGAACAAAGAATATTACTGTTTTTTGACAATGTGCCTTGTCACTTAAGAGTTTTCATGCAGATGTATAAATAAATTAATGTTGTTTTCATGCCTGCTAACACAACATCCATTCTACAGCCCATGAGTCAAGGAGTCATTTCAAATTTCAAGTCTTATTACATAAGAAATAGATGTTGTAAATCTATAGCTGCCATAGATAATGATTCCTCTGATGGATCTGGACAGAGTAAATTGAAGACCTTCTGGAAAGGTTTCACCATTCTAGAGGCCATTAGGAAAATTTGTGATTTAAGCCGGGCTTAGTGGCTCAGCCTGTAATCCCATGCTTTGGGAGACTGAGGTGAGTGGATTGCCTGAGCCCGCGGGTTCGAGACCCGCCTTGGCAACTTGACGAGACTTCATTTCTACAATAAATCAAAAAATTAGCTGGGCGTGATAGCGCGTGCCTGTAGTTCCAGCCACTTGGAAGACTGCGGTGGAAGGATCGTCTGAGCCCAGCAGGTTGAGGCTGCGGTGGCCGGGAACGTGCCACTGCATTCCAGTCTGGATGACAGAGTGAGACTCCAACTCAAAAAAGAAAGAAAATTTGTGATTTAGGGGGATGAGGTCAAAATATTAACATTAACAGGAGTTTGAAAGAAATTGATTCCAACCCTTAAAGATGACTTTGAGGAGTTCAAGACTTCGGGGGAGGTAGTGACTATATATGTGGTGAAAATAGCAAGAGAAGTAGAATTAGAAGTGGAACCTGAAGATGGAACTGAATTGCTACAACCTTATGATAAAGCTTGAACAGTTTTATTATAAGCAGTTGAAGAGTTGTTTCTAATGGGTGAGCAAAGAAAGTGGTTTCTTGAGATGGAATCTACTGCTGGGTGAAAGTGCCACGAACATTGATTAAATAAAGCAGTGACCAAGTTTGAGAGGTTTGACTCCAGTTTCGAAAGGAGTTCAGTTGTTGGTAAAATGCTGTCAAACAGCATTGCATGGTACATTGCAATCTTTTTATTATTTATTTATTTTTATTTCAAGAGGTTTAGAAGATACAAATGATTTATGATTACATGGATGCATTGTATAGTGGCAAGGAAGTCTGACTTTAAGTGTACCCTTCACCCCCACCAGTACACATTGTACACAATAGGTAATTTTTCATCCCTACCCTACCTTCCACTCTCACACTTCTGATATTTCAGAGTTCATTATGCCTTCTGTAAGACACTACAATCTTTTGTGAAAGGAAGAGTCAATCCATGATGCAAGCTTCACTGTTGTCTTATTTTAAGAAATTGCCACAGCCACCCCAAACTTCAGCAACTGATCTGTCAGCAGCCATTAACTACAAGACAGGGAGCTATACTGTCTAAAAGATTACAACTTGCTGAAGGCTTATGAGCAATTTTTTGCCCTGAAGTACTTTTAAACTAAGGTATGTTCATTTTTTTAAGATACAATACTATTGCACACGTAATAGAGACTACAGGGTAGTGCAAACATACATTTTTATATGTACTGGGAAACCAAAACATTTGTTTGACAAACTTTATTGCAATTTCTGCTTTATTGGAGTGGTCTGAAACTGAACCCGCAATATCTTCTAGGTAAAGCCATATAATCATCCTAGTGGGTATGAGGTGGAATCTCCATGTGGTTTTGAATTGCATAATCTTGATGACTAATGGCATCAAGTGTGTTTTGTGTGCCGTTGTCCATTTACATATCTTTTTAGAGAAATACCTGTTCAAATTATTTGTCCATTTTTAGATTTGGTTTGTCTTTTTTATTCGTGAGTTGTAAAAGTTCTTTATATATTTTGTGTAAAGTCCTTTATCAGATTTTGTATTTGCTTAGAGTCAGGGTCTCACTCTGTCACCCAGAGTGACAGGCTAACTCACTGCAGTCTCAAACTCCCAAGTTCAAGCAATCCAGATAAGCTGCTTCTCTGCCCTAAAATTCTATGGGTGACTGAGCTGAGCAGACCAGAATCTAAGAAGCGCTAGCCTCAGTCTGGGCTACTAAGCAACTTATTCTACAGTCACATGATAGTAGTATTTGATAATTCTCCTTCTATCTGAGCCTTAGCAGTGAGCCAGTTACAGCAATGAAAGTGGGATGTGGCCCAGATACCAGCTTCATATTCTGTGTCCCACTTAGTCATGAACTGAGTCAGAGAGACTAGGCGGAACCACACCTGGGCGCTCTTTCAGCCTTATATTGCTTAGATATTTATTTAACAATTGTTTAGAAGAGACACTGGAACTTGAACAAAGACAAGAACTGGGCAGGATCCCCCTCCCTGGAAGGCAGTTGAGTGGCAATGAGTTGTCATTTAAGCTTGCCCTAAGGGTTCCAATTCTCATGCCAAGTATTTTAAATCAAATAAAAGGAGTTCTATTAAATACACTTTTTTACTTGGAATGTAAAAGCAAAATTGCAAACTTTATTATCATGGCATGTAGAGAAAATAAAAATAATTTACAGGCTGCAGTGTGAGATAAACTGACCAGGCTGTGCTTGACCAAAAGTGTTGGTCCTGGGGCTCACAGACCCTTGTAACCACTGTGTGACTGAGAGGATCCACATCTCAGAGACCTTGAGCATACGCAGGCAATCCCATGAGAAGCTCTCCTGTGTGATTGCTCTTACACGATTGCCCCTATGAAAACCACTTCTAGCTTGCTTCCTCCTCAGACTTCGTTCTTACCAAAGCACTCTAAAAAGTGTGTTCCTGGGGCACTAGGCTTAGGGAATTTGAAAAGAATGACAAAGGCCAGGATACTCTGAGTAGACAACAGAGTTTTTATTGTTGTATGAGGTAAAGCAGGAAAAGATTAGGATCCAGGAGGGGCCCTTGGGGCATCAGACCAAACAGAACGCTTCACAGGATTTATCAGTCCTTGAAGAGAAGAAGAGGGGGCAGGGGAGGCCATCATCCTGGGGCAGGGTATGCCCCCAAGTTTCTCCATAAGGATTTCTCTGTGAGTTCAAGGTCTGGTCAGCAGCAGCCTCCAGAGCCATGGCAGCAGTCTGACCCTCTGGCAGGCTCACACTCACAGCAGTCGGGATTCTGGTGCCTGCGTCGATGGAAGAGACGGGGCCTGTGGTGGCTCAAGCAGCAGCCACCACCCCCAGAACTGCAGCAGCCCTCGGAGCTGGGGCCACAGCAGCCCCCAGAGCTTCCTCCACAGCAGGAAGATCCTGGAGGTGGGCACGGAGCTGGGCACTGGGGTGGACACTTTGGAGGGCACTTGGGTGGGCATTTGGGGGTGCACTTGGGAGGGGGCTGGCACTGCTGCTGGTGTTGCTGGCAGGACATCTTGGTAGGACTTTTTTAACCTGGAAGTTGAAATAATGACATTCTTTAGCTACATAGAAGTAAAGATGGCATTTTAATCTTTTAAAAAAATTAAGACATATGGTGATGGTGAATAATATTTATAAAGAAGAGAAAGAAAGCAACTTAAATCTTTCCCACTGAATAAAAACATGGTTGAAAAATCAGAATAAGAAGCTTCTTATTCTATCAGTAGTCAGCATTTTCTAATCTTCATGAGCTTGAATAAAGTGCTCGCATGTCAATAAAGTACCCATTCTCTAAATATAAGAATAAATCTCTGAAAAAAATGTGAGAACCACACTTTTCCCAGCCCAAAGTAACATTTTCAGAGACTCAAGTCAGACTGAGCCTCATTTCTGCTCACTATAGCACAGAATCAAAGTCACAACTCTGCAGCCTCCCTCCTTCCTCCCCATGCCTCAGTCCTGCCCAGATACCCTTTGGTCTCTCAGGTGCCCACTCACCCTGGTCACACAGAGGAGCACAGGCAGGTCCCTGAGAGTCAGAGCAGATGAGGTGCTAGAGCTGGGTATGTGTCTTTTATAGGGCCCAGGCTTGGCTCCAGGAAGGGAAGAAGGTGACTCTTGCATAACAAGGCATATACTGGATCATTCCTGACATTCCCTTCCCTTGTTGTCTCTGTAATCCAAGGAGTCCCTTGGTGTTCCCAGGACTTCTTTCTGGAACTGGGTTCTAGAGGAGCTTTAACCAGTCACAGCCTCCCCCAGGATGGATTCCCAAGACCCTCCAGAGTAGGGCTCAGGGAGTGACTTCTGAGAAAACCAGAAATCCATACTACAGCTTCCTTGTGGAAGTGTTTTATTTCACCATCTTTCCATTTCCAAGGATGGTCATCTGGGTCCTGCTTCCAGGCTGGTTCTCCAGGGCATTGAATCAGGAACCATTTCCTTCCTAGGATATATTCTTCCATATATCCATACCTACTTGTCAGCCCCTTACTTCTGACCCACAGGTCCCTGCTAACAGGACAATTAGGTGAATAAAGATGGTTTTCTCAGATTTGGTGGTGAAGATTATTGTGACTAAACTTTTCTTCACTTAGGCAATTTTTATTATAAGGCAAGAGTCTCTAGTATTGGAATCAGAAGAACAGTATTCAAATTATAGCTCTGTGTTTATAAGTTGAGTGACCTCATAAATTTCATTTAGACAATACAAATTCTCAACTATAAAGCAGGCCTATTACTATCCTCCTTCTTGCATTTTTGCTTCCTTTAAGTGAGGCTTAGCACATGAGAAGACACAAGGAAGACACTAAAACAATGTCAGTTATTTTAAAGGACATATGATAGATCCAGGTGCTTTGCCTAGGTAGTATATGAGACAGAGAGATAAGCAATATTTATTTCTTGTCCTCAAATTTTTTAAAAATATAAGTAGGCTAGTGTACATTATTCTTTTAGGATTGTAAGAAGCATAATTATTTCTAGTCAAGAAGCTGATGGGAATCAAATGGTTTGTTTAATCTCATTGGTGAATGACAGGAGAGTATGGAATTTGATAAAATCTTGGATTAGATACATTCATTCATTAATCAATTTATTTCACTCATTGATCAAACATTTACTGAGGACCTGCTTGCTATATGGCATGAAGTTGAAAATACAGCTTTGAAATTTATAGTCTCTTCCTTCATATACTCATTTTCTAGAAGGCAAGAGTATATGATCTCTAAATTTCTTTTCCACTAAGAGATGCCTCATCTTCAATTTGTGTTTCTTCTAGTCTCAGATATAGTCCTGTACCCTAGAGGATTTTCAAGTCAATAGTGAAATAAATTTGATATATGAACATAGCAATAATTCAAAAAGATATTCTTTTATCACCTACCAGGTATTTCAGTGCACATATGAGGAGGGATCCCAACACACTCATAATTTATCTAATTGTATATTTATTCTTACATGTTTAAACTTCACTCACCTTCAAAGTACTCTTCGTTTGATGCAATACAACTATTGGGACACTTTTTCACTGCCCAAAACCGCTTTTTGAACATGTCAACTTTTATGCGTTTTAGTGCTTCTGCCATTTTTTTGTTTTACCTCTTCCATATTGGCAAAACATTTCCCTTTGAGGACGTTTTCATCCTGGGAAACATCCAGGGTGAAATTGGGTGAATAGGAAGGGCGGGTCATGGGAGTCATACTGTTTTTGATCAAAATTGCCGAACACTCAGCACAGTGTGAGCAGGTGCACTGAGAAATCACCCATTATGAAATGGACAAATAAGTTGAAAGAATCGTCAAAAAAAACTAATTCACTGGGCCAGGTGCAGTGACTCAGTCTGTAATCCCAGCACTTTGGAAGGCCAAGGCGAGAGGATTGCCTGAGTTCAGGGGTTCAAGACCAGCCCGGGCAACTTGGTGAGACCTCATCTCTACAATAAATCAAAAAATAAGCTGGGCGTGGTAGGGCACACCTGTAGTTCCAGCTACTTGGAAGGCTGAGGTAGAAGAATCGCCTGAACCTAGCAGATTGAGGTTGTGGTGGACATGAGCATGCCACTGCACTCCAGCCTGGGCGATGGAGTGAGACCACTACTGAAGCCAAACAAATCCTCTCAAACAACATTAGCTGGTACACTGAAGCTGATGGATTCCTAGAACACTTATTTAGCAGGAGGAGGGAGGCCTATACTGCAAAGGACCACCCTCCAAAAGATAATTCTGGGGTTTTGGGGTGACGCTACATATGTCCAAACACCTAGATTTATAGAGGCAAATATCATGTGTGTTGTGACCTCTAGGACTCACAAATCAATGGACATTCTGAAGACCACTATGAAATTCATGTTCCTACAAAATGAGGTTCTGGACTGAGAATCTTCTGAGTCATTATTTCCCAAGAAGATGGTTGGGACACTGGATCATGTGGCAATGCCCTAGGTGATGTCATACTAGGTTCCTCATTCTCCTGGGCTGTATCTTTATGAGTATGTGTGTGTACACACAGCATGTGCACGAACATGTGTTTGCAAACCAGGGACAAGCACAGAAGTTGGGTTAAAGGGTTAGAGAGAAGACTGCAAAACTGATGGGTGCCTTGTTCCCAGGAAGTCAGTATCAGGGGATAAAATTCCTTCTGTATTTCTTTTTGTGATCCAATATGATCGGCCACTGTTTGGGATCAGGCCCATGGCCCTTGACAGCAACACATAATAATTCTAGGTATTCTTGAGTTTATGACCACAGTCATTGCATCACCAGAGCATGAACCCTCTGAATCAGGTCTTATTCCTTGTTCCCTTTCCTGAAAAGTACAGCAGTTACCCATGGAGTACTGACTAGATGAATGAATGGATGAATGAAATGTTATTAGAAGAATGATCTAGGAGTTATTTGAAAGACTCCTTTTAAACGACTTCCTCCTTGCCTGGAAAGTCACTGACCGGCAGGTTGATCATGCCAAATGTCTCTTAACGAGGCAAATATTTTACTGTGACCTCAAACTAATTCTATTGCAAAAACCTACTCACCTCCAAAACATGCTCTTTCTTTGTGGTACTTGCCTATTCACCTGGCATGGGACCTTACCAATGTCATTCAATCCTCTCCTCTAGCTTCTATAAGTACTAGGTTAATCATTTTATATCATCTTCCTGTAAAATGCATGTCTTAGCCCATCCCAACCTCTCCTCCCCACTGATAACAGATAACCTGAGCCCACCAGATCCTGAGCCCACCAGATCATAGAGCAGGCATGGAGGAGATGGTATGACCTATAGTTTCCTAACAAGAGGTGGTGGCGTAGTTACTTGGGAGCCTGAAAACATTGCCCAGTGGCTATGTTCTTACTGAAGCCATTTGTAACTTCTAGGCACCAGAACCTGTTGGGGAAGCCTGAAATCTCCCATGATTTTTCAAGGAAAAAAAAGAAGGAGACAAGAGTATTAGGAATCATTAGACATGAACTCTTAATGTGAAAGCATTACCACTTGTGCCTCCTCCTAGAGCCAAAATGAACCCTGAATCTTGGTCCAGGATCCCTTGTACAAAGCATCCCTGGCCCTGGTCCTGCTCCCTCTTCTGTTTTTATTTTCAGGGACCCATCCTCTTCTTGGTCTGTCATTGTGAGTTTATCCATGGAAGTCACAGAAGGTGCCCTGTGCAGGAGTAGGGTGGGCAAATAGAGAGCCCCACTGAGAGGGTGGATATTAAGGAAGGACAGAGGGACTTGGAAGAAAAAGAAGGACACAAGAAATAGAGGGTATTTGTGCAGTATAAGAACTATCCCAGAAATAATTAGTATGTGGGGCTGGAAAACGAGGGAACAGTTGCTCTGAGTCTAACGTGTTGAGAAGAACTTACGGTAGCTATCTGAATTTCACATATAATAAATAACATGGGCCTTCCCAGTTTAACACTAAAGAACTGGTTAGGAACAGAGTTTGTAGCCAAATTATCTGGGTTTGGATTCTGAGAACTGTTGCTTGCTGTGAAACCCTAGACAAGTTCACCAAACTGTCTATACCTCAGCTTTCTCAACTGTGAAGTGTGGAAAACAACTAATTACCTAATGGCAATATTGTGTTAATTGTCTCTTTTATTAACTGAGTTACACATAAATGCGGGGGCCCGCCCCACGAGGGTCGTGGGATGTGTTGAAGGAGAGACAGATAGGCAAATGACGATCATATACCGGACACCTGCTTCTTGAACAGATGACAATTTAATGCTAGTTAATACAGAGCTTTTATACCATTTTTGAAGGGGAAAGACAAAGAAAACTCTTTCACATACATATCTTTTAAAAGTTACCAGCTAGTGGTCTTAGTAGCAAACAAACCAAGATTCCCATAGGCTTTAGTAGCAAATAAGCCAGGAATCTCATAGGCATTAGACAAGTCCTATTCATAAAGCCAACAATGACACTCTCAGTCCAATGTCCCAAATTACAAATGTTTCAAGAAAGTTTCTTTAAGTGTATATTTCTTTATGTGGCAGGAATATTCTCAT